TCCTTTTCTGGGCCTGAAGCAAAGCCTGGTGAAATTGCCAGGAGTTTGGACAACTGTCTTTGCTACGTACTGGGTTAGACCTCACACCTGTGAAGACTGGGCGACAGAGGAGACCCTTGCAGTTTACAGATAACAACCAGGGTCTGATGTGTTCTAGTAAAAATATAGAAGGGGTCTGTATTTGACAGAGATAAGGAAAAGTGGAGAACTACTTTCTCTCTTGCCATCAATTTTTCCACAGACACAAAGTGTATTTTGGCAAACCAGTCTTGTATCCCAAGTCAATGAGATATTTGCCAGCTGATGACATGAACATTCACAGCTTTAAATCACTTTTTCTTTGCAAACATTTAAATAAATGCATTTTTGTTCAAGGAAGTCTTGACTTTAAAACAAAAAGCCTGCAGGAAATCCTTATATTGTTAATTACAAAAGATAGGTCTGCTTTGGTTTTCCATGCTGCTGATCATTTATGGAATCCCAGATGACTAGCAGATCTGATTTTATAATCGTGTTGTGTGAGGAGTTTAGACTGAGTATTAAGTATAATTCTGTAATTTATCTCTACTGTTTCTTTATTAATGTCTTCAGTGTTCTTGGTCCTCAGTCTTTCACATTTTGTACTGATGCTTTATTACAATGTTTTCCAAATTTTTGAAGTAAATGTCTTTCAAGATGAACAACAGTCCTTCCTTGGAAACTGACTGAAAACCAGGTTACTCATATAGTATTGCCTTGCACATCCCTGCTTTGGAAATCACTGTATGCTCTTGCTTCCTCATCCCTATGTGCCTTGATGAGTATTAAACTGCAGTGTTGACAGGTAAAATATTGTCAGTAGCATGTTTGATGGGTAAGTGAATGACTGCCTGAGAGAGTTTTCTTCTCAGAGATGAATTTTTTGGGACTCTCTGCAAATTCAGGCTCTAGTGATAGTTATTTTTTGTATCAGTTATGCTCGACATGCATTTTTTACCTATGTTTTGCAAGCATAAATGGGGTTTGTCTTTTCATTATAGTGGCTATTGTCCATGCCCACCCGGTGTCTTGTTTTTCAGCTGCCCCAAAAGGTTTATGCAGCACTTTGGAAATATCACTTAACTACATTACAGGAGTTAAATATGAAAAAATGTCTTTCAGAGCTTGCACAGCCCTTACATGCCAGTCACAGACTGTCACCTAGGGCTTATTATCAGCTTGGATAAGCTTTCCATATTTCAGGTTCACAGTTTGTCACCAAGTTGTTATTTTCATTGCCGTGTCTTTGATCTCACAAAAAGCGCTGCGCCGGTCAAGGAGTCTGTTGACACTGTCCTCTTTGCCCACGTGGACCTTTGAGCTCATTACAGTGCAAAGGAAGGATCATGAAAGCAGAGCTTCAGAAAACATTGTAGGTGCTAAATAACATAGCATTTGTAAAGCTGTTCTGTGTCTTACTGTGGGCCTCAGCTTCAGATCTGAACTTCCATAGACTGCTGTCCACACCGCCCTTTCATCGATGTAGCCGTGACAGTGCAGGGATATGAGCAGTACTTCTTCCTGTATCCATGTAGGGGAATGCATCCCACCTAGAGACTGCCAAGCAAACAGAAAATAGGTAGGCCCTTTGTTACTGTCTGAAGGTCTAGACTACAGAAGGTAAGTGGATAGAGAAAGATGAGAAAGCAGAAGGAAGTGAAGTTATGAGTGCTTTTTTGCCTTGTACTGCTGACAGCTTTAGGGTGGTTTCCCTTCTGAAATCTGCTGTAGTTCCCCCAGCTTGGTCAGTAATCCTAAGTTGTTTCTGTTATGTCTTTGCTGGCAGCCAAGGTGCTAGCACAGAAGATCCTGGCCTGTTCTTCAGATCATTTGGTCTAGTGCTAGTGCCAGGAAGCCCCAGCTCTATGGTACTAGGCTCTGTACACACATCAGCACAAGACAGTCACTGTCTGAAAGCACAGTCTAATAAATCATAGAATCATAGAATGGTTTGGGTTGGAATGGACCTTAAAGATCATCTAGTTCCAACCCCTCTGCATGGGCAGGGACACCTCCCACTAGACCAATTGTTCCAAACCCCATCCAGCCTGGCCTTGAACACTTCCAGGGATGGGGCATCCACAGCTTCCCTGGGCAACCTGTTCCAGAGTCTCACCACCCTCATAGTGAAGAATTTCATACTAATAAAGTGTAATGAAGATCACTGAATGCACATGGCTTTAAAGTACATGGCTGCCGTTCACATGAAACCTGACAGTAAAATATGCACTGCATCAGGGCTGTCTCAGATCACCAGCCATCTGTTAACACACCCTGCTAGTCAGTCCCATTACAGCATGAGATGGCTGAGATGATTACCCCTTACACATGGTGAGGGAACTTTTGTTACTGGTATTTATCAAGAGATACTTTTACAATAAAAATTACAGACAGCTAAAAGCGTATCAGGAAACAGTAACTTGGGATTTCATATGGTTTACAAATGAAATTTCCCCTTCTGTTTACAAATTCTGGTGTGCTTATGAAAGAAGTTTTTCATGGTATTAATGGAAATTTCTGAGCCTATACATGTTCTTTTCTCCAATCAGGCATAATTTTAGTATGAGAACTATCCATACATCCTTGACTTGTCATTTATTAGAAAACTCAAAATCTTCATGACTGACATGAGAGAAAAAGTGTCAAAGGAAAAATTCTCTGTATTAAGGAAGATTTTAAAAATGGGATTTTATTTGCTTCTGGTTATGCTAATTCATCACTGCAAGCAGAGTGTGACTGCATTCTGTCTAGTCAATTCTTTTCTTAATATCTTAAAGAAGAGATATAGCCAGAGTTAAGGACATTGGAGATGGGCAAGGAAAATAATTAGGTCACAGAGAGTCTTCTCTTTGAGGAGGGATGGAAGAGATAGTGATTGTTTTAATTTAGAGAAGAGCCAAATAAGAGAGGAGGTGACAGTAGTGTACAGAATGATGAATGATATAGAGAACTTGAATTGGGTCCTCTTGCTTGCCCAGTCTTAAGTACAAAAGCAAAGGGACACTTGATAAAGGTGAAAGGCACATACAGTAACACTGTCTAAAGGGAATTTTTATACAGTAACTACCTTGTTTCCACAAGCTCATCTTGTTTTTCCATGTTGCTAGAGCATATATTGAAGGGAATGCAAAAGACATCAAAATGAATTCAGGTTGTAGGCATACTGCAGAGACTACCAACTAGATCAGATTAGCTGGCTTGTGTGAAGGAGAAGAACTAGTTAGGTATTCTTAGTGATCTTTTGTAGCCTTAAAAGTAAGTAGAAGTTGCAAAATATATTAATACATGTCCATATATTTGCTAGATGCAGTAAAAAAGTAACCATTCAAGGCAGAAATCTATTATTGATGGAAAGACTATTGCTCTGCAGTTGTCCCCACGTGATTTGTTGCCTGCCTTCCTGGATATTTGCTCATGACACTTTTATAAAAGGCTGATGTTCTGCCCCTGTTGGCTCAGTGCTCAGCTGCTGGAGCCAAGCAGACTTCTGTCCATGAGGAAGTTGAAGGAAATAGATTTATTCTTCCTGAATATTCTCTTGCTTTGGGATATTCCACTTATTACAGTTGAAGGAAATACATTTATTCTTCCTGAATATTCCTTTCTGGTATTCTCTTGCTTTGGGATATTCCACTTATTATTCATCTTTAATTAATAAGTTTGCATCAAGATTCAGAATAAAAATTGTTTTGATCAGTAGATTGTAGGGAACTTAATAAATAGAGCAAATTTGATGTGTATCTCTTCTCTGCCATTCTTAGATAAAAAAGGGATGGTGAGACATGCAAATGGCTTATAAATGAGTGTGTTCACTTTCTGGTTAGATTAGTACAATGTCTGTTTAGATCCACTGTTACTTTTAGACTTGATCCCTGACACTCTTTTAGTAGATGTATAATTGTTTTATAATTCCTCAACATGCTACCTTATTTCATTTATTACAATCCTAACCCACCTGTGGTGATCATCACCAGCCTAGTTCCTGCAGTCATTTTGAGTGCTGTGCCTGCTTTGTTTCTAATGTCTGTATGTAGTCTGCTGTGGTAATATCTCTGTAGTGATGAAGACCTGGATCACATCTGCAAGATACCCTTTCCTTTCCTGTCTCAGTTTCCCCCACTTTAAAAATGGGTGAAACATGTCAGAGTTTCTGGATGAAAACCACTTACTATGGTACAGGGAAAACTGCATTTTCAGTAATGTTTCCTCATGCCTTGTCATTAAGTCTTCATTTCTCACTGACCTGAAAGTCTTCATGAATGCATTTGCTGACATTCTCAGTATTAAACTTTGTGCAGCTATTGAGTATTTAAAATATTTACTAGTCAAAAAGAGTAGATATATATTGTGAATCAGGTGAACTATATTATTTGTAAAAATTTGGAGGAAGATGCATGTATTTGTGTGGTTTTGTGCTTGTACATATGTGCTATGCACATAAACTACATACTTAAGAATGTATTTGCCTGTTACTGCAGCTCAACTGCTTTTGGAAAAAAGCAAAAAAACTGCTTTTTTGAAATAGTTATGGGCATTAGCTTGGCAGCCTTGAAAGACCATGCTACAACATGGTGAGTAACAGTTTAGCCATTTGAAATCACAGAGAAAATTTCATTGTAAATGTAATTTCCTGGCTAGAGGTATGCACATTTTACAACTAAAAAGTGAAAAGCAACATTATGTCTGTTTTTTCGGCACTTGTCAAAAGCCCTCCAAAAACCACCTAGGCTGTAGGCTAAGCTGCCTTTCATAAATCTTAGCCGAAGACTTGCTGCTGACTTTTTAAGATTAAATTATTTCTATTGTTCTTGAATAATTACATTTTTGTTGGTATCTGTGGAAAGATCCCCACTGGGTTGAGCATGTAAGTATATGGGAGTACGGGGGAGAAGAGCTTGTGTTAGTTAAATGGAGATGATAAAGCTGAAGACATAGCAGCAGGACATACATAAATCAGATTTGTGGTTTTTTTCTTTTTCTAGTTGGCTCGTCACAATAAAACATTGCAACAGATGCTGAAGCCAGGGTCAGATCCTGATGAAGGAGATGAAGCCTTGAGGTATTACGCCAATCACACGGCACAGATAGAGGTAAAGAATTGCTCACTAGAAGATTGAATGTGAGACAAGTTTGCATCTTGTGCACGGTGCATTACCTCTTTTTAAGCTTTTGAACAGCCGAGCTCCTTGAAATTATGTAGAGTAAGAAGGAGAAGGTTGAGTAATAGGCTTTTTGCTATGGGAGAAGGAATGCTCCTATATTAAATGTGGCTCCAAATAATAATTTTACAGTATTTACAGTAATTTTACTTTCCTGTGCGTTACCAAACATGTTTTGTTAGGAAAATAAAGACGGTGGATAGTAGCTGTGTCGTGAAGTCAACAATAATCTTGTATGGTACATCACTCAAATAAATGATCATGAGTTTCAAAGCCAGTGATGCTAACTGATCAAATTAAAAGTTTGGCTGGAGTACAGAGAGGTTTTGAAGTGGTGTAGACATTCAGTATGTTTTTTGTTTAAAAGACCAAGGGTTGGCCTGGTTCACCAGTTCTGTTCTCTATTCTAAACTTTGCCTCTGCCATGGATTGGATTTAGATCAAGATCCACAGAGGTATTTAGGTTCTTTAAGTTATATCAGATCCTGTGCTCTTACAGATTTTATGGGATTACAGGCATCAAGGTAGGAATTAGGTACTATAGTATCTCTGTAGTCCTTGGTGATTTTTCAGGGAGGAGAATTTCCATGGTGCAAAGGCAGCTACTGTGAGGGACTACAGGAAGAGGAGGCATCTGGCTCTGTTTTGGAAATGCTGCATTAGGTCCAAAGTTTGCCAAGTGTAAAAAATGCACAGGATGGTTGCACATAGGCCCAGCCTGAATCTGAGCCAATAGTTTTATCTTCAGTGGACTGCCAGGCTCCATCAACATTGGACCTGAGCTTGCATGTGTAGGGAGAAGTCTGTTGCAAGCACCTCAGGTCAGTGTTGTCCTGGCTGCCATCAAGGCAGGCCATGGCCAGGTCCTTCTCTGTTTCCCACAATCCTTATTGCCTGATACTGGTCATGTTAACCCACCAGAGGACAGATGGAAGATCCATGGCTGTGGTTGTCCAGAAGGCAGCTTAATGCTCCTCTTAACATGATCTAATACCTAGGGTCCTCCTGAGGTATCCCTTAGAAAGTATCAGCTGAGTTATATGGGTAGGTTGTAAATGTAGGCATTAAACAGGCACCATGGTCTGCTTTTACGTTGCCAATAGCTTCTTCCTGGGGTAGAAATCTGCAAAACCTTGTGGCTGCAAAGCCTGTTCCTTGAGCAGAAATGGAGGCTTCTGTTCTCAGGGAGTCCTTTAAAATGTCCTTCTGCAGAGCAGCACATGCAGCCTACCTCTTCATTTGAGTCCCTGACCAAATTGAAGGTGTCCCATCAGCTTCCTTCACTCTCCCCACTGGCTTAGCTGCTGGTCATATAGTCCCATTGCACAATTGCTGGTCTGAGATGCCACTATTTATTTAGGACACTTCATCCAGTTGGGAATATGCCCTGTTATGTCAGATACTTCATCGAATGACTTTGCCAAATTCAGGTGTCCCTCATTTTATGGAAGAGGAACCTCATGTCCCTGGGCTTAATGCTGGCCAGCTTTCCCTACTCTTAAAAATTACCTAAGACAGGTGTTTTTTAGTATGTTCACATACTAAATATAATTAACAGAGAGGAGGGAGGGCTTCTGAATGCAGATTGTGACTGGAAGAGTGAAACTCAATCCAGCTTTGCTGGGATACCAAGTGGATGTTTGCTGATCTTTCACTGGAAGCAGTCCTAGGTCTGTTTGGCATTTCTGATCTGGTTGCACAGTATCAAGGTATCTCTTTTGTTTGATTTGAAAGTCAAATAGTGCTTTTTCTTTTTTTTTTTCTTTCACTGCTGGCTGTATAGAGACAGGGATCTAAGAGTCAAGATGAGTTTTCTACCCATTTCTTCAGGGTCCGTGATCAGAATGGGGAAGCAATTTTGATGAAGTGTGTTGAGATGGAATAAAATCTAGCTCACTCACCAGTAACTCAGTAGGCTCTGAAATACAAACAATATAAAGCCTTGCTTTTTCCCAAGTAAGAAGATGAAGACTGACAAGATACAGGTGCTGTCTGAGTAACAAGGTGCTATTTTTGCATGTTCACCTTCACAACTTATCTCCTCTTAGAAACAGATTCAAGGTGAGAAAATAATTTTGTAATCTGAGCAGAAAGCCCCTGAAATTCTGCAGTATTTACTAGGAAAGATTTGCTTCAATTTATTGCAAAATAGAAGCATTCTGAGTAAGAACTTTTTTATATATTGGGGGAAGCTTGGAGCTGGATTTTGCCTGAGATGTATAATTTCCACCTAATTTTCAGGCAGGCTTTTGAAGATAGAAAAGCGGTTTTACTTTGTTTTAGGATTGATGAGTTCAACTCCACTGTAACGTTCAAATAGTTTATCCATTAATTTATAAATAAATGGGGAGATGTGAGCAAGAAAAGATACGACAAAACGGCTGGAAAGTCACCGATCCTGACAAATTGTTCATTTTATTTATAGATTGTTCGCCATGACAGAACAATGGAGCAGATCGTATTCCCTGTCCCCAATATTTGTGAATTCCTCACTCGGGAATCCAAAAGTCGAGTATTCAACACAACAGAGAGAGATGAGCAGGGGAGCAAAGTCAATGACTTTTTCCAACAGACAGAGGATCTGTACAATGAGATGAAATGGCAAAAGAAAATTAGGAGTAAGTATTGCGTTTAAAAAAAATAGCTTAATTCTGCTAAAACCCTGCTTTTAAGCCTTCCATAATATAGTTTTTGTTGTTGTTGTTTTAATAATACACTTTTCTCTGTTTCCTCCAATACTGTAACAGGCAAAACTGTCCAGGGCTTGAGAGTATAGGTCAGCTGAGACACTTGAATGCCACCATAAAAGAGGCATAATATAGAACAGTTAGTAATATAGTGTATTCAGTAATGTGTTCAAGATGATGTTTTGGACTCCACAAGTTAAACTGAGGGATGGATGAACTGGGTGTGGTTCCACTAAACTCAATAGAGTTGCACCTAATTAAGCCAAGGCCCCTAATATTTAACAAAAACATGTGTAGCTGCATATTTGAGGTTTGGAGATACCTAAAAGACCATTAAAAAACTTGTAAATGTCAGTCCCTTAAAAACATCTCTCACCAGAACCTCAGATGCTTTTAAATCTGTCTGACTCCCATGAAGTCAGTTCCCCCTTTGCCAGTTCACATCAGTCTTTATGACTCTGCTGCTGTATATCCCAGTCTTGTATGTATGTCCTGTGGTACTGGCTTCTAGACCACCATAGGCTGCTTGCAGATCTGACATGCACAGTCAGGATCAGTGGGGAGAGATCAAAGCAGGGACCTGCAGAGGAGGTGCAGTGAAGCCAAGCCAGGTACCCCAAGTTTCTTGTTTTGTTTACTGGTTGGCATTACAGCCACTGGCCCTTGCCAAGAATGGGGATGCTGCTGGCGTCCCGGGGACATGAAGCTGCTGCCAGCTCAGCCGCTGTCAATTCTGCCTTTTGCTTTTGAAGCAGAGAATCAAGGCTGCAACCTAATTAAGCATCTACAGTATCCTTGAGGGGTAAGGAGGTTGTATTTTATATATGTGTAAATGAAAAAATACAGAAGGTTGATCACTTTGGTCACTGCTAAAATGCAGATGCTGCTGGGGTGGCACATGTCAGCTGTTTATCAGCTTCCAGGAGTGTTGTGCTACTGATTAGGAAGGAGGTGAAGAAGAGTGTCTGTAGTCAGAGCCGCAGGGAGTTTAAATAGTCAAAGCAATATGGCTTAATGTAGCATCCTTAATGTGATAGAAACATGAATGTTGGTTGCAGTTTTTATAAATGTCAATTCCCAGGCTATAATTTTCAGAGGCAGTAGTAAGTTGTGGTGTGAATCCTATTGGCTCAGATCACTTCCCTGTGTGGCACTGTAAGAACTTGTCTGTACTGACAAATTGACCAGAATAGAAGTTGAAAAATAAATTATTCCAGAATAACTCACTATCTGCACAGTCTATTTAGGAATAAAAATCACCGTACTGTAGAAAATTACCCTAGTAACAAAATCATATATGTGTTTTTTGCTTAAGAAACATGAATAAAACAGTCCAACCCTGCACTTACATAGACCAGACCTGACTAATGCTGTGAGCAGAGAAAATCAGTTTATTTTATTCAGAACACAAATCCTCAGTTTCTTTCATTGGTAGAAAGAAACTGGGAGACTTGGACCACAAAGTCTCCGTGTTTGTTTCTTTGTTTGTTTTTATTTGAAAAGCTAATACAGGTCGACTTGGTTTATTCTTTAACCAGTTGTCTGTTAGCATGCAATCTGCACTGCTGAAATTGACACGTCATTTGCGGTGGTACCAAATGCTTAAATCTCAGCAGCCAACAGCATAAGTTTATCACAATGAACTCTGAATATTTGCCTAATCACAATTAAAGTCAATTTTCATTAAAGCCTGAGACAGTCGTATGCAGCTGAAGGAGTCTACTGTTCATAAAAGGTTAGCTGGGTGCAGGCAAGTCAAGAAAATATTCTGCATACTTGTAGGAGGCTCTTAAAAATCAAACTAAGAGGAATACCCTGTCTTCAAGTAAACCTCTCTGGCTAGAATTTTTTTCACACCATTGCACGTAGAATCTTGTTCTAAACATTCGTGTAACTGTATTGTAATGCAGCTGTATGTATGAAGTGCTTGCCTGGGTCTTAGATCCTCTCTGATCTTCTTCCTAACCTTTTTGCTGAATCGTTGCTGTGCCTCTGGACACAAAATCTTCACCCTGTTTTGCCCTAGTTCCCTTTTTATTGTTTTCTAGCTAGGTCATAGGTTCTTTGGGATATAGACTATTTCTGTGTATTTGTGCAGCACTTCAGATATGGAGATCCTGGCTTCAATTGAGTCCTTTTAAGCAGGAGTACAGAGCTGTTTGTCAGTAGGTAACCCTGAATGTCTAAGGAATGTCTAAGGAAGTAGTCAGCTTCTATAGAACCAAATCAGTCAGACTAGACTTTACCTGCTCCCCAAAGTAGATCAAGATGTACTTAGTTTGACAGAGGTAGAGAAAATACTGCCTTTCTGCAACCTTGCCTATTCCATTGTTCTTTTAATAATGTCATCAGTGTACTTGGTCCAGATGGGCAATTTGGTTGACTGGCATGCAGAGTGCTGAAATCTAATTCCTTGCTTGACTTTGTGTCTCCGTGCAGAGGCTACAGCTTCAGAGGCAGGTGAAAAGACTCCTTCACAAAAGATCCAATCCTAAAAATCTTAGCAGAGGCAAAGCTCTAAATTGTATTGGGAACTTTGGATTAAAGGCTCTCCTTGAAACTACGTTTTATGGCAAACCTATTTTTAATATTTGTCTGGTTTAGTTAATTTTGAAGATCTGCATATTTTCTTAATCTTTCTTCAGTCATCTGTATTTTTTGAAACATCCTTAAAGCCATTACTGGTTGAATTCCTGTGTGCTTTCATGTCATTAATTTGTGCTCTTCTCCCCTTTCTAGATAATCCACCCCTGTTTTGGTTCTCCAGACACATCTCTCTCTGGGGGAGCATTTCCTTCAACCTTGCTGTATTCATCAATTTAGCAGTTGCACTCTTCTACCCCTTTGGAGATGATGGAGATGAAGGCAAGTGGAGTTTGTTTTTCCTTTTAATTTTAGATACTTTCAATTCTAAGGTAACATGGTTAGATAAAACTGCACCTTCAGGTATGCTCATATCTGCAGAAGCCATTTAGTGTCTTCTAGGTAGGTACCAGATGTTGTTTGAAATGTGGTGGTTGATCTGTGTTGCATGTCCTATGCAACGTGAAGTAAAATGGACAGAACAAAACTGCTGAGCTGAAAGAGTATGTAGATGATCTGAACTAATCCTTTTTTTAAATTTATTTAAATATTGCCATATTGCAGTGTACTGCTGCACACATTCAGTTACAGCTTCTGAGGTAAAGGAGGATTCCCAGTAGCAGAGAGACTGAGGTTCTGCAAAAGTGACCATTTTGAATGACTTGCAGTCTTAAAAAAACATAGAGAATGGAATTATTTGAGAATTAGCTTGTTGGCTTTTGACTGTTTTGTTTTTTTGGGTTAAAAGGACATTACTATTGCAGAGGATAAATGCATTATGTAAAACTATGCTTAAAATCTATGATTCTGTCACTGCTTCACCACATATCACAATATATATTGCAAATAATGTTTCATTAAATAAATGCAGCAGACTAGTGGGAGGCCTCTTTGAATCCAAAACACGCTTAACTGGAATAAAGGAGACTGAATAGTTCAGAATACTGGTAATGGGAGGAGAGCCATTCACCTCTGGGTCTTTGATTCATGTCCAGTCAGTAATGTGACTGAAAGTCACTTCTGTCTGATGGCATGTGAACTTGGCTGGTGGAAGCAGTCCAGACCTTCTAGTAGACACATGTGCTTTTCACAAACACCAGAGTTGGCACCAGCGAACATTCCTGTTGGCTGCCTAAACAGCAAGGCAGCAGGTTAAAGTATATTGGCATGGAGACCGTGTTGGCCTTTCACCCTGTAGGGTGGTCTCTGCAGGTCACAGCACAGGCATCTCCACAGCCCCGAGCAGCAAAGTTTGCAGGGCTGTGCCGGGTAAAAGGGAAGTGTTTGTACTCAGCGCTTTCCTGTTTGTAAACTGAGGAGTCGCTTGGAGTGCACACACATCACAGCCCAGGCAGGGTAAGAGAAGAAATAGTTAAAAATAAACCTTTGACATTTTAGCTAATCTATACTAATGGAAATCCTCTGGTCTACAATCAGTAGGTATTAATATTTATTTTGATCTGCAGATTTATATAGTATTAGTTTAAGTGGTCGCAGTAATCCAGTGATTTTGGTGATAGGGCTTTTCAGGATTCCAATCTCTAGTGCTCATGAAAGCAAAAGCTGAAGGATAAACTATAGGTGTGGCCAAATGGGATTAGCAGGGTCATGAGACAGCCTCCTTACTTTCAGCCTTCCCCTCCACTAAAACCTAAGAGATGGAGTTTGTATCCCACTTTTCCTCTTCGGCTTGTATAAACCCACCCTTACTCAAATGTCTGAGGTGCCTGGGCTGATCAAATCATCCCAAGAATGCTGCCTGTTAGTAGAGTTCTGCAGCTCTTACATCATACCACATCAGTGAAACTGTGCTGCTGCTGAGGACACTCTGCCTGCGGCGTGCACGTCTGCACACGTTAGCAGTGTGGGTCCTGTGAGGTGAAACTGTTTGACCTGCAGTAGGGAAGAAGGAAAAATGAAGAAATGAAAAATTGAAAAAACACTGAGTGCTTTGACCTCACCTTTCAGATCCACTTGGAAGTGATTTTTTGGATCCATTAAAAGTTTCTAGATCTTGTTGGGGAAGAAACTGACAGAGCTGACCTTGAGCCTCGTGCCACAGATGTAAACACTCCTGAACTTTGAAAAAGTTGGGATACCATCAGAATGTTGAAGCTAGGGCCTGATCTCATTGTTCCTTAATCCCGCTGATGCTGCTCAGCTGTGTATCTGTTGCTGGAGAGATAGCATAATTTCTATTGTGAGGCTGGCTAAATTTTCTATTCCCTTCTCCCCCCATCAGTGACCTCTCAGTTCATCTGATAACAATAGAAGCCAGTGTACAAGTGTGACAGCGCCCTGAGATCTGAATGTGCTTTTTATATCACAGCAACATGGTGTGTTTCCAGGGCTTTAAAGCAGAGGAGAGAGGGAAAGCAGAGGCAGTGTCAAAACTCAGGGGGAGCCTGGAGCCAGCATCTTGCAGAGCAGCAACGAGCCCGGCTCTGAAGGCTCACACGCCTGCAGGAGCTCAGCGAGACCCAGGACCCGCTGTCTCCCCAGGAGCAAGGCACAGCTATTCAGCTGCTCTGGGCAGTGCAGATGCTGCCTGTCCCTGCCCAAGTCCCCGTGGCTGCCTCCTGCTGCCCCAAGTGCCTTGCTCCCCTGCAGAGGCGGAGGCTCCCACCAAACACCCGCAGCCATGCAGAAGAAAGCTGCTTTTCTGAAACCAGGGTGCTGTGGTGCTGTTGGGGATCCAAACACGAGACTGCTGCATGGTGCCACTTGCTGTGCTGCCCCAGGGACTGGCTGTTTCTGTAGCTGAGCGAGCATGGGATTAGACCAGAGGAGCCCTAACGATCCCTGCAGAAGGGAGCTGATTAGTAGCTTGCTCCAGGAGAAGGGTAAACTGTTTCATCTTGGAGCACTCCCTGGATTTCAATGGAAGTTTCATTAACTGCTCTTATTATTAGCTGTGCAGAAATCAACAATACTATGATAATAATAGTTTTTGCTGCAATTAGGGCAAGTTGTGGTCAGCAATTGTGATGCATGAATCATGCTTTTTTTGTTAGCTGTATTGGCAAAGGAATTGCTCTTTTGGATCTATTTCTTGGTGAAAAATGGGCTCTCCAAAAGATGCCTTTCTCAAATCTCCCTTTCTCCTCTCTACAGGCACACTCTCTCCATTGTTTTCACTCCTCCTTTGGATATCAGTGGCGTTTTGTACAGCAATGCTGTTTTTCATCTCCAAGCCTGTTGGTATTCGACCCTTTTTGGTGTCTGTTATTCTCAGGTCTATATATACTATAGGGCTTGGGCCTACCTTGATACTTCTTGGTGCTGCTAATGTAAGTACTTAAGCAGGCAGAATTTTCCTTTCAGCAGAAGCAGAGATTTTAAGGGTCTCCTATTAAAAACAAAAAACCCCTTGATTATTAAAGCTGTGCAAACTTCTTTTTCTGGTTCACTGGTTAAGCAAAAAAAAATAAATATTTAAAAAAATATATAATTTCCAATCATCTCAAAACAGCAGCATCAGCAAAATGGGAAGCTAAGAAAAAAGCTGGTTTGGGTTTGTGCATATGCAAATACTTTTTAAAAAAGTAATTAAAGAAATATTGCTGAATAAGAGAAATGAAATTTACAGTTGCTCATGTTAAAAGAGTAATTTTCTCTGCCAGTACCAGGTTGGGTGAGGCTTTGTGCAACCTGGTCTAGTGGTAGGGGTTGCTGCTGATAGCAAGGGGGTTGGAACTAGATGATCTTTAAGGTCCTTCTAACCTTCACCATTCCATGAGTCTATGAATATGCATGGCAAAAGTGATGAAAATTTGTGTGGTTTTTTTGTCAGTTTAGGTCTCTATTTTTGCGAAGAAAAAACTGTTCAAAATTAAAGTCTCTCATCCCTTTTCCAGATTTCTTAACTTATTCACATCTATGTATGCACGTTTACTGAGCTTGGTGAGATACACACTCATGCTCATAAGTCATCTATGCAGATTTCTACCTGACTGCTAGAGCTCTAATTCCCCTTAGCTCCAGGCAGCAAGGTATTGAGCTATTTGCCACCAGGTCAGCGAGAATTTCACATGCTTCAAGCTACCCAGACAAGCAGTCAGTGGTAAAGGCATGCAAACTGTGCTTGCTCATGTCAAATCTGTGAAAGAAACAACCATGTTGGATCCTCATTGCTTGTCCTGGACTATCAAACAGATGAGGTTGGCCCCTCTCATATTTTCTTCTGCGCCATGGTTTGGGTGCAGGCAAAGCTTAGAAGCAAATCTGATGCCGTGGCTTTAACGCTAGACTTCAGAAATGCCCCTGTACTTTTTTTGGGATTTTTAATTGGAAAACATGATCTGAAGGCAGTGGTTGATCTCATACACACCCCACACACTTTCTGTTGTGTTATTATTCCCTTCGTAGTAGCATGCCTAGCTGCTCCTACATAGTCTCAAGGCTAAACTCAAGATCGTTAGGAATTCACTTCCAAGTTTGTTTGTTTTTTTTATGCTTTGTGACATTAATCCCATTCTATCTACTCACTAATGTTATAGAAATAAATTGCAATGTAATGAGTGCAGTGGTAGAGGGGTGATGCACTTCCACTGACTCTCATGGGCCTTGGGAAGGTTCCCCCCTAGCTTGGGGAGCCGGATTTCTCTCATCTCACTGCAGCTATCTACAAGTTGAGCATTTAGTCAGAGCAACCTATCTCGACTTTTTGCACACTGCAGCAGTGCAAGCCATGAATAACAGGATTTTTCTGATGGAATAAACTTAGCCTTTATCTACCCCTCCAGCTTTGTAACAAAATAGTGTTTCTGGTGAGCTTTGTCGGAAACCGTGGAACTTTTACCCGAGGCTACAGAGCAGTCATCATGGACATGGCTTTTCTCTATCACGTCGCGTATGTCCTGGTCTGCATGCTGGGCCTCTGTGTGCATGAATTCTTCTATAGCTTCCTGGTAAGTATGTGCTTCTGTGGAGGGGAAAACTTTGCAAAAATAGAAAATACCGTTACCCGTGCAGCTGTCTTCAATTTCTTCCTGACAATCAAGCCAAATTGTGTATTTTTAGCAAGCCGTTGTGTTGCTGCCCCTTAGGAGCTGCTGTTTTCATTAGAACCTGTTTCTGTTAGGACTTACTTTGTCCCTTTTAAGAGCTGAAAGTTAGTCCCTCTCTTTTCAGACAATCACCATGCAGCCCACTGATTTCTTCCACCCTTCCTCAGCATACTTGTATTTTGTGCATGTTGTTCCTGTATCTTCTGTCAGTCTGATAATCTTTGGGACAGGAATTGTCCACTGATGTGTGCATCATACCTATACCAGTGGATCCCATTCCTCAGTTCATCTTGCAGCCTTACAAAAAAGTAATTTCCTTGGGAAATAGGGACAGCATGCTTCTGGTGTAGTAGAAAGATTCATGACTTTAAATGTATCACACCTTCATTTTCTTTTGTTGCTGTTACCCAGATGGAATGCCTTTTAATAGCACCATACAGGTGCGATGAAAATGAATCATAAAAAATTGTGCTAAATTCAGCTGACTTCTCCCTTCATGCTGAATAGCAGTAAAAGGTGTTTCACTGCTCTTATTTCCTAATCCTTTTGCTTTATAGTAGAGCATGCAGCACTTGTTGGGAGACTGTCTGAATTGTGGTCGTTTACATGGGTTTGCTTTCCTGTAGTATTTTTCTCAGCTTCCTGAGTAGCGTTTGAGCTCCCAGCATTTCACAGGGGTGTGTTAAGCACACTAAAATTTTTGTGGGTTCAGTCCTTACTCCGGTGAAACTCCAGTTCAAGTCAGGTTTTCCAGTTCTTGACATAAAAGTCAGTGTCAGAGTTTGGGGAGATTTAAAAGAATAAACATTTTATGTATGTACTTTTTTCAGTGACTGCTGTTGTCTTATGTCCATGATTCGTGTAATTGTCCACATTCCCCAGTTACTTCCAGGTGTTTGCTTTGTAGGGGAAATATTAAAAACTCTAATATTTGCTTTTCCTTTTAAGCTTTGTCTCACATGGAATGAATGACAGCTCTCTTCCCTCTTGCTTCCTTCCTTTATTAATCCTTTCACAAGGATTATGGATTTCAGATCTTGTAAATTGTGACTAATACCTTCTTCTGTGGACCATTTTGATAAATAAGCGTGTCACTTTATATCTGTAATCTGTGTGTTTTGAAGTGGAAATACATACATTATAGATAAGGTCCAAAGCACTACAGAGTATCAGTAAAATTGTAAGAGAAAAAAAAGCTACAGTCCATTGAAAAATTCTTCTCACGTTTAATTGCTATTTTAGACCTTTGACATTTAAAGCAATGCTATCTGAATGTATACTTTTCCTTAGATACCAAGAAAGCACACAGTGCCAGGTAATGAAGAGAAGTGTCTAGTTTTTTACAAACAGTACCATGAATTTAACTTTGTCCTAAAAAAAGATGGCCCCGATCCTTGTACATGTGAGTGACTTTTAAATTATGCCATGAGCTCAAATAAACAGTTACAAGCATGTAATTACTTGCATGCCTGAGTGCATTTTTGAGTATACATACATGTTTATCAGATGGGAGATAACAAGAACAATTAATTTTGATCTAGCTTGTTACTGAAAATAGGGAAGCAAGAGCTCTTGTTGGTAACAGCTACATCTAGATCAGGCTCATATTTAGTATATTCTTCGTGGCTTTGGATTTTGCTGTAATCTGTCTGTCGTGGTTTGGGCCTAACATGACAACAAAGAACCAGTCCCATGGCCACTCACTCACCACCACCATCACCCACCCAACACACACACACACAGTGGGATGGGGAGGACAAAGCCCATCCAGAAGCTCATGGGATGAGACAAAGGACAAGGAGGGATCTTCACCAATTAAGGTCCCGGGCAAAACACACTCAAGTTGGGGAAAAAATACTAATTTAATTTCACACTAACCAAACACACACAGGACACAGACACACCCAGAGCAGGGCTTGCAGATGTTACCCCACCCCTCCCTTCTTCCCGGGCCCCAATCCCTTGGTTCCCGGTTTCTCTCCCTCCTTCCCCCCAGCGGCACAGGGGGACAGGGGATGGGGTTTGGAGTCACTTCACAGGCTGGGGGTTCCTGCTGCTCCTGCCTCCTCAGCAAGAAGGATTCCTTACAGTCCTGCCCTGCTTCCCCACGGGGTCCCTCCCATGGCACAGAGGCCTCCACCAACCTCTCCTTCCTGAGTCCTTCCCACCAGGCCCGGAGCTGCTCCAGCCTGGGCTTCCCACAGAGTCACGGGGGCTTCGGGAACAGCCACCTCCCCTGGCCCAGGGGCTTCCACAGCTGAGCAATCAGAGCCCACTGGCAGCAAAGCCTCTGGCCACAACATCCAAGTCCCCTGGCCAAGTTCATCCCTCCTGACACCTTCAGGGAATGTTCCACCACGTTCCTCCATGAGTGCAGGGGCACAGCTGCCATCTCGCCATGGGCTGCAGGGAAACTTCTGCTCAGGCACCTTCTTCCCCTTCTTCCTCATCAACCACTGGCACTGCTCTCACTCTCCAGCTCAGCTCTTCCTCACCTCTCACTCTGTTCAGCTCTTATCTCAGTTCTTTCCTATGTTAATTGCAGAGGCACATCTGTTGTCTCTCTAATGGCTCCTTGGCTGGTTTTGGAGCAGGGGGAGCTTCTCAGCTTCTTACCTTAGCCACTCCTGGGGTGCTTCCCCCACTACCAAAAAAAACCTGACAAACCGATCCAGAACGTGATCTTAAAAGTTAAAGTTCTGTCCTAGATTTTCTTCTATAAGCATGCCCAGCTCCAACTAGAATTAATGTGAATTGTGTACTTATGAAGCTGAGAATTTAGAACATGGCTAGATGTATGTTTCAGTAGTTCAAATTGTTTCCCTGTGTAACATCTATATACTGCCTCATTTTTATTATTTTTTTCTTCTACTCTATGCTTTTCCCAGTTGTTCGATCTGGTGTACAGAGAAGAGACTTTGCTAAATGTGATAAAAAGTGTTACCCGAAATGGTCGTTCCATTATCCTCACTGCAGTGCTGGCACTCATCCTGGTTTATCTCTTCTCCATCATTGGATTCCTCTTCTTGAAAGACGACTTTATCATGGAGGTCGACAGGTTGAAAATCAGGACCACTGTGGCAGGTAATCATAGACTAGGTTTATCTGTTGAATTACTGAAATCTAACACTCACACTTCATTTACTACAATTTCTTTTGTCAGTCATGCTAATAAATAAAAATAAACCTAAATTCCTAAGTATTTGGAAGACCAACTCAAAGTGGATTTTCATTGGTTTTTCATCCCACCTTAAAAGCAGCTCATACTATTTTCTATGTACTATGTAAGTCATGTGATGTTAACATGTTCAGTAGATGTATCCACTTGATTACTTTTCAAGCTGCATCCAGCAGTAATGTATTACAGAATCCACACTTCAGCTTCTAGAGGAGTTCCTGGAACATTTTTTTAAATCAGTGTTTATTTCACAAATATCAATGTTAGTGTATAATCCTGCTTCAGTAAAATCATTGGGAGGTATTTAAGCAGTTTAAAAAAGGCCAGGTTTCCAGCTTTCTGGAATGAGAGATTTTACCAATGTGGGTAGAGAACTACAAACCTGCTTAGCTAGAAAAAAAGCCGAGTCTGGTGTGTTGAGATCTTTGTTCATGTTGCCAACCAGCCTGCTGGGAGCATGGGCAGAGAATTTAACTGCCTATATAGAAATAGCTAAGAATAACTTAAGATGAAATTTGAAGAGGCATGGTTTTCCCAAATGCTGAGCTCTTCAGACCTGTACACAAGCATGGAACTACTAGTGAGATCCGTCCCAGGCTGTCTGCACTCAATGTTTGTCAGCCTTTTCCTAAATCTTTTATTTTTGGACCTAAAGCAGACAAAAAAGTCAAACCTCATTCAAGACTCTTGTGCTTGGTGTACTCATATACTGTTTTGATAACATACAAAAAAAGAATACTGACAGGTTTCATTTTGGCCACTCATCCTCTCAAAAGGGCTAAGTTAGCTTACATTTGAGTTATCATTATTTTTTGGACAGAACTTATGATCTGAAGTTTAATTTTGAAAGATTATTGTGGCCATTGTAGAATCACAGAATCAGCGAGGCTAGAGAAGACCTTTAAGATGATCAAGTCCAGCCTAGGACCAACCCCACCACATCAGCCAGACCATGGCACTAAGTGCCACATCCAGCCTTTCCTTGAACATGTCCAGGGATGGTGCCTCCACCACTTCCGTGGGAAGTCCATTCCTGTGTCTAATCACCCTCTCTGTGAGGAAGTGCTTCCTGAAAGCATTGGGCCGAGGCCAATGGCATGAAATTCAACAAGACCAAGTGCAGGGTCCTGCACTTTGGCCACAATAACCTCAGGCAGCACTACAGTCTGGGGGAAGAATGGCTGGAGAGCAGCCCAGCAGAGTACCTGGGAGTACTCGTTGACAACATGAACATGAGCCAGCAGGGTGCCCAGGTGGCCTGGAAGGCCAATGGCATCCTGGCTTGTATCAGGAATAGTGTGGCCAGCAGGAGCAGGGACATAATTCCCCCCCTGCACTCAGCACTGGTGAGGCCTCACCTCGAGTCCTGTGTGCAGCTCTGGGCCCCTCAGTGCAAGAAGGATATTGAGGTGCTGGAGCAGGTCCAGAGGAGAGCAACAAGGCTGGTGAAGGGACTAGAGGGAAAGTCTTACAGGGACAGGCTGAGGGAGCTGGGGTTGTTTAGGTGGAGGAGACTCATGGGGGACCTTATCACTATCTTCAACTACCTGAAAGGAGGCTGTAGTCAGGTGGGGCTGGGCTCTCTCCCAGGCAGCTAGTGACAAGAATAATGGATACAAGGCTGTACACAGCACTGGTCTGCAGTAGTTCTTGTGTGTTTGTTTCTACTCTTGGGGTTCTTGGCAGATTTTTTGTGGTGTAGATACATTCTTGCTGGCATTACACGTTGCCATTCCTGATCAAAAATTCATTAAGAAAATATGCTGATGATACTCTGATGGAACATTGTGCATCCCAAGACAGGTGCTTTAATTTTTTTTTTCTTTATAAAATATCCCAAAGAGAAAGGGTGGATGTTTTCAGTTACACAGGTTGTCTTAGGCTGTTATTTTGATTGTATCATTTTGCCTTAATTTTTTTCCTCCCTAAACCTTTTTTGTATCTGATTAGAATTGGAGAAAATTGTTGAAGATGCACAAGATAAAATTGATCTGATAAAATCAAGCTAATGCACACATTTACCCACTTTGGGAATGTTAAATTAGTGTTTTACACAAATCCATACATATTTACAAATGAGTACCAAACAGTGATAAAATCCTTGAAAACTCTTAAGTATTCTACATTCAGGATAACTGAACATCAGCTTGGTGTCCTTCTTGTCAGCTATTGTGAATAATTTATGTAATGGTTTTAAAACTGACATCATTTTCATATCTGACAGTTGTTTCTTGCTTTGAATATATTTTGTTCTAAGCAGAAGTAGCAGCATTTGATGTAGATTCATTAATTTCAGGAGATGAAATGGGAATAGCTGTGATACCCTGTAAATATAAAACTGTGGGGTTTTTTTCCTTGTGATTGCTTTGAGCTGTTGAGGCAGACTGTTTGAGGAAAGAGGACTTGGTTGTATAATTTGTTCTGCTTTTTTTTTCTCAACTTTTCAAATCAGAGATTCACTTCTAAAAATAATAATCTAAAATTTTGTATCAATGCAGTATCTGGTTTTTTTGGTTCATATCCTACTTTTTCTACAGATATTGGGGAAGTCCCCACTACAACCCTCACATCAATGATGGGAGCCTGTGCCAAAGAGAACTGTTCCACAAGCATCCCAATTATGAACCCAGGTGAGTACAAAAGTTTCCCCAAACCAGTGATCAGCTAGAACGGAGGGATTTGTGTGCTGTTATTGCGGATACTTTTGCTAGTGTGAGAAAGGATGATCGTTTAAGTTCTCAGCTTCTGCAAGGTTTGGGGCTTGGTTGGCAGCTTTCCTTTAATGTGAGTGCTTCCCCCACCTGATTTCCAATTGCGTTGACAATAATTTTTTTACTAAAAGAGCTTTCAGGATCATTATGCTTTAATGGACAGGTCGTCTTCCCATCTGACTTTCTTACTGAGAGAAAAAGCTTGCTGCTTATCTGCAGCACTGATGGGCCACACTGAGCCAGTATTCGATCCGTTCAGGGCCACATGAGTTGATTTTCATGGTGTAGCATATAGCCAGCTTTTTTTTTTACAACTTTTTTTTACAACTTTTACAACTTTTTTTCATGCTTCTAGGCCAAGGTTTATAGTGTAGCCAGAAGACCTAAGAGCCCAGATCCAGGATCAAATTACTCTTAATGAGTTACTGTGTCTCAGCTCAGCATAGGCAGCAGTCCATGTCTACATTATTAGCTTGTGGCAAGTGCAAGGAAACAGAGACTGTTGCAAGCCTTTCTTGCCATAGCTAAGTTGTGCTGCTTCATGCTTTTGGCAAGTGAAGAATTTTATTTGCTCTGGTTCAG